TGGTTGAGGCATTATGCTACAAGCCGGAAGATCGCTGGTTCAGGTCCCGATGAGGTGGATTTTTTTTCAATTTATCTAATCCCTCCAGCCACACTATGGCCCCAGGTCGATTCAGCCTCTAACAGAAATGAACACCAGGAATATTCCTGGGGGTAAAAGGCGGCCGGCGCAGAAGGCTGACCTCACCGCCATCTGTGAGCTGATTTTCTAAAAAATGTGGCAGCCTCAACATCTCACGACCCTATGGGTCTCCACGGCCTGTTACAGGGATACCTTTACTTTACTTCCCCAGTCACAGCTGAGTCATGAAGAAGCAACATAACATGCGGAATCTGGCTGTGAAGATGTAAAAATCATAAAGGTAAAATCTGCACAAACAAAGACAAGTAAGTGTTTGTACTCGCTCACTCATGTAGTTGAGCCCTTTTTGAGAAGCCGTCAATTGGGCAGCTACTGAAGAAATTCCAAGCATTTTATGGAACCCGCAGGTTCATTACAAGAGCCATCCATTGGTCCCTATCCTGAGCCCGATAGAATGTGTTGGTAAGGACCGAATCTATCTCCCTAAGATTAATTTTAATACTAGCCATTCACCTAAGTCTTGGTCTTACGTAAATAAAATTTATAATAATAACATTACTGTACGTAATTAATTTTTTTACATGTATGGGATTATCTGCAAAACCTATGACAGACGTGTGATTCCGAGAGTGAATGCAAACCGAGGGACTATAATTTGGGTCTCTGGGTTCGCACAAGAAAATAGGATGTCTAGAAGTGACCAGCTCTGAAATCATTGTAATTAACATTACTTTCACACTCCCAGGATATAAAAAAGTACAATGCTTGAATTAGTCTCGTAAGTCATAAATGCTATTCAAATGCCGAGGTCAGCACTAAATTGCTGTTTCTGTGCCGTTCTCTTTAATCAATTGTTATGCTGCTTGAAGAATATTCGTACCTATACCATATGATGTAACGTGCTGATTATTTCATCTAACGAATCTATACAGCTGCAGATATTTTTTAAGGCGCGTCCACATTACTCGTGCTCGTGCTCGTGCTCGTGTGACTCGCTATGCTCGCAAGTGATATGGACGATATGACAACTTACGAGACAAGCAAATTTTAGTTTTTAATTTAAAAACTCTAACCAATAAATTAAAATACGACTACAGCCTATACACACTACGAGTAAATATACGAATCCTCACGCGCCGAAGCCTGGCCAGCAACTGAGTGTGGACTAAGATTTACGAGCACAAGTAAAAGCCAGACGAGTCTCCCGATGAGCATGAGCACAAGTAATGTGGACGCGCCTATAGAGTTACACTGAATGAGCATACGATAAGANATGGGAGTTCTCCACAGAGACTGTGGTCGATATTGGAAGGAATACAAATCCTACATATCACCATTGTGTTTACCTACTCAGTTTCGTGAATCAACAATAGGGAGCTACGTAACCGGAAATGCCAAGCGTTGGCTTCTTCCTCAAAGAGATATTAGTTTATTAAATAAACGCACATTACTCACTCATTGGATATGACGCCATATATTCTTATAGAAATTTACAAATCTTTCCGAGGAACACGCTACTACCATCTTCTGGATAAAGCCAGTTCTACTTGTAGATTGAGGTAAAGCCTTTCTGCGAAATATATATACATTTCTAGCCGTCTGCACATTGTCACATCTCAGAAGACAGTTATTTTCATAAAACGTATCACCAGAACATCATATCTGGCAGAAAGAGTAGCAGTCTGAATGGGATATACGTGTAATATGCATGGAAGAATGCTGTAATCTGATGAAGGGGGTTTGGCTTACTCTGTTGCACGGATATATAGAGAATAATATTTTGATTGTTTATGAGGTTGCACCTTGAGTGGAGTACAGCGTCTATTGATCGAAAACTAATAGTCCAAAATCTCCGTTTATTTAGATACATGGATGAATGAAACGTACTCATATAACTGCAGAAAAAATGGATATTTACGATTTTGTGTTCTTCACTGAACGTGACATTCATGTAATACAGACATATCTGTTATCGGCACTCAATTAGCAATGACTGTTGCATGTAAACGTGAACTAATTTTTCGTCAGATGCATTAAGTACTAATTATTTTTAAAAAAATGTTTCAAATAAGAATGTAAAGCTATCCCTGCAAAAGGCCGTGGAGGCCCATAGGCTTGTGAGACGTCGATGCTCCCACATATCCTAGACAATCGGCTCATAGATGCGACGAGTTTGTCAGCCTTACGTGCCGGCCGCTCTTTACCCCCAAGAATATTCCTAGTACTCATTTCTGTTAGAGGCTGAGTCGACCCCAGAGCCATAGTGCGACTGGAAGGATTAGGTCAATTGAAAAATCCAATGACCTCATCGGGAATCGAACATTTAATACAGAACTTAATAAAATGTATTTCAATGTCATATATTAAGGACAAAGAAATGAAGAACTGGCAATGTGGCTTCACCGAATTGAGGAATTTACGGATTTAATCTTCATCGTTCAACAAAATAATAATTAATAAATCAAGTAATATATAAAACGGAGACAGAAAAATTTATGATATTGTTGCTACAGATTGACGCCTAAGTTGATCACTTGATTAATACATTGCATGAAAAATATATCGTAAGAATGAAAGAAATGATTACACGCGACAGGGTAATGTACAATGTCATTATACCCACATGTCAAAATGGTTGCAAAAAAGAGACACTCGCTAGAAATCCAGCGGTGACCAGTAAAATATTTGTACTGCCGTATGAGGTCCCCTTGTAGTTCGATGCTGAAACTTCAACTTAAAAATGAGAACGAAGCTAAAAAATTATAGAAAAAAAAATCTAGAAATTATATTCACGCCATATTTTATTTGTGAAAAAACAAAAGTGGAGTTGCCTCTTTAGTCATGAAGGGAGCTGAGTTATATTTCTAATATTCTCGACCTCGGCACTGGGTGGAATTCAGTGGTCTACTTCACGCTTCTGTCAATTTATTCCCCCTGGGAAACCAACACCCTGTGCCCATTGGAGAGGAGGCTGAGTGGACCACAGAGCCTGTGAATGGAATCAAACACCGACCGTCCAGCTCATAGCCCGTCGCTGTACCAACTGATTTATCCGGGCTCGTATTCTTTTCCAGTGTTTTATAAAACTCTTTTCCACCGTACACTCCAGTTGATGAAAAATATTCACAGTATTAAGCGTATTAAAGAAGAGAGCGTGTAAGATTAACTAAATTTGCATTGATGGTCAGAACCTTCACTATCTTTCCAAACTATCGTCTGTGTTTAGTGTTTGCTTAGAAACAACAATTAGAAATGTAAAGGTCTCTGCGTGTGCCTGGTCTCGTGTTTGTGTTTGACGTAGTTCAACTATTACTCACCTCGCTGGATTATGGTGACGCAAAACTTTTCATAATTATTTTAGCACACGGCAGAAAGAAAAGGGCTTACTGGCTACAACAGCATTCTCAGAGAAAAATAACTAACGTAACATACGAGCCATTTCTATAACAATAGAGGAATGTCATCATTGTTAGGCAACGACTCCGTAAGCATTCCTGCAGCAAAGGATACAGACAACAATAAGGAATACGCCATTATAATTCATTGCTACTCAATTGCTTTATAATACAAGAATGGAATAGGTTTTCTATGTGGCTTGTGCCGAGAAATTATAAGACGTTCCAGAATACCTCCACCGTGACCCTGTGAGTTGTAGGAGGCGACGAAAAGGGACGTTTCAAATCTGAGACAGTAAAATATGGTCGCGAGTCCCTTGGGACTCGGATCCAAGAAAGACTGCGCTGGAAATGGCCAGCAGCATGTACAAATGACAGAGCCGTCCTCTCGTCAGGGAGGGCGCCCCACATAAAGAAGACCGTAAATGTCAACAGCAAGAAATATCTGATCATGAGTTCCAGATGGGGCTCGACACCAAGATATACTGACTGACGGACCGACCGACATTTGCAATGTGATTTTGACATAAAAAGAGACAAACCCATCTTCTCGTCAGAGAGGATATTACATAAGGACTATTACTGCAAGAGTTCGTTTGGAAAGAATCTCTGGTCGTGGACCTCAAGGGGTCTGACGCCAAGACGAACTGATTGGCGGTAAACTGCCAGTTGTAAAGTAACTTTGACTTGACTTTGAAAGAAGTCAGTGGTAGCTGAGAAGCTATGAATCAAGTACACCAAACCGTCATGGAAAGAGCAGTACAGAGTACAGTTGAGAATTCTGTTCTGTACGGGAGGCTGTGAAGTAAAGCCTTAGTTGCAAGAATATAGCTGAAAAGAAAAGATTTTATATATAATATTTGGAGTGTGTAATTCATGAAACTGTTATAGTTCCTGTGTTATAAATCTGTTTCCAGGAAACGGGTAGTGAAGGCATTGTAAAAGCGTAGCCATTGTGGAGATTCGTTACTTAGCAACGACTGGTGTAAGCAGGCGTTATTTATGTGTTATAGTTGAAATAATATTGAGAGTTGTATTATTAATTGTAGTTAAGACTAGTGAATATCCAATAAATCGATTCACCAATCCAAACCCCGTCTACAAGTCACTAATACACGTGACAATATAAAATGAAGTGCTCTGACACACGAACGAAATTTTCGACAATAATATTTAAACATTAAAAATTACGTTATACGATAAAATTACTCGATTATGCATTAAATAAAATGGCATTAAAATCAACTTTGGCAAGTGTATTAACCAGCAATAAAATAATATTTGGCCCGTATAACATCACAAAAAAATCAAGTTGTAACATACGGTAACCACCAGATCGTATTCATAATTTGGTTTCATTGAAACTGGTTTTAATATCAGTGTTTCCGAATAGTATCTTAACCTTTAACGGGACCACGGGGCTGGCCGTGTAAAAGTCTGGAGGGGAGAGATTTATGCCACTCTCAGTGTGTTAGATGGTTGCTGCGAATTACCTCAGTAGTATCCGAGCAGTACTGTGGGAAACTCTACATATCTGTGCTTCAGCATCTGAGGTGGTTTGGGTGCGTTCTCTAGAGGCAAATAAACAGGTGAGCGATGCAGACACCTATTATTCGTGACGTAAGTCGCAGAACCCATAATCAGTGTGCGTGGCTTCTAAGAAGTTAGACTCAACACCACGTCTATAGGTACAGGATAGACCATAATATACGTCATAAATTCAAGGAAATGCACTGATTACGTAATAAGGATTTCTGGGAATAACAACGAATACACTTCCCTTTAACTGCTCTAGTGGGCAACGTCATAGCTCAGGCGGTTAGTCGCCGGATTTCCACTGCAGCGGCCCGGGTTTGATTCCAGATGAGGTCATGTGAAATTTTGCATGGATATTGAGGCAGGTTTCTCCTATTGCTTCGGTTTCCCCAGGAAATTTTCCTTCCACCTCCTCCTCAGTATTCAGTAATCATCAACTTAGAGCCTCGACACTATCAGCGACGTTAAAAAAAGAACTGAATGTCTTACTCACTGCTCCGAGGCTGCAAGTGTTCATAAGTTAATACACATGTAAAACAATTATCCCTTTTTTGCATCAGTTCCAATAAGACTTGTCAAACATGGCTCAAAATTTTCACATTCACCACGAATACCATTCATGCAGATAATTTGTAGGAGAGATTCGATTTATTCTTTATTTTGAAATCATTCTTCATGTGCCGTTTCGATAGACCCTAATGTAATAATTATTTAGAGTCTTGAGGAGGGATACTATTTACAGAATTTGAGCTCCTACCATGTTTCTAGTATACGTTATATGAAAGTGACACCAAGAAATATGTGTGTCTTTACGAAATGCATCTCGTACAAAATAACATTATCCTAAACAGTGGGTCCCAAATTGTATCACTACCAATGACCCCTCTTGTATTATTTTCCCCCCGACCGATCTCATGATTTGCAGAGGTTTCCTGTGCCCATCAAACAACTTTTTAATGCTAATTAAATATTTCCCCATTTTCGATCTCAAATATCTCCATGTCACTAAGTGTGCAATCAAAACAACAGAAGTTGGCAACGTAAATGTTTATTTATACGTAAGATCTGAGGTTTTCACGGCGGTGACTATGAAGAATGTTTTCTTCTGGGATGTTACGCCGTGTAGATATTGTGTAAATCGACGTTTCGGAGGAACATATCGACTGAGTCTGCAGCCACCTGCTCAACTTTGGTTCCTCGCTCGCGGATATTTATAACATGAAGATGATGGCGATATGTTCCTCCGAAACGTAGGATTAATCAATATCTACACGGCGCCATAACACATAAGACGGAATTCTTTATGTATACGGTTGGTGCCCGTTTGTTGATACCATGCCCAGACTTCACGTCCAATGATAACAGATTTGAACGTAAACCAAGATCCATATTCATATAATCATATTATATTTGTTTTACATAAAACTGCTGAAAAAGCCTGGAGATATGTTGTGAGGAATAGCATTAAGCATATCAGTGCCATAGATGCCAATTGAAGGAAATCGTTTATCACTTGCAACCAAAACAGTGATAAGTTCTGTTGAATGAAAACTGATCTCGACGAGATGTTACATGAATATTCTACAAGATCGATTTCTTCACTTGCATGTATATACCTTTTACATCTACGTTCATTGAACCCAAAATCCACATATTATTGATATTACGAAAGGAAAATAATGTGTAAAAGTGTTCTTAAATTTTTGGAAAATGTTAACTGATAAAATTTCATATTTCTTGAGAGAGATTTTCATCGGATGTGTAACAAAATCACAGAAGTGCGGAAGTAAATGAAATATGCCCATTTAAAGACGAGTCTATTTAATAGTCAATTTTGTCTTCTAATTTTAAAAGGATTGTGTCTACCTTTCATTCTCAAAATTAGGGAATTAAAATAGGTATAAAAGATCAGGTAAATATGCCACAATATCTAGATATAAAATCTTTTTTTAACGTATTCATGCGGTAGGATGTTCGTCTGAAATATCGGTAAACATCTACAGACTACATGGCGTACCGTCTCTTCAAGGCCACAGCAGTCATAACCTCAAGTCTCTCAAAAGACGTTTTTTATTCCTGAATTCTTCAATTGCTCAAATTCTTGTACACACTGCATAAGATTGCCACAATATTTTCAAGTTACTCTTTACGTAGATCCTGGGAGTCAGACTGTGAAAAACCAAATACTTCAGTTTAGCTCACAAACTAGAGCGCTAAACTTGTGCCTAGATTGTAAAATAGTTAAACACTATCAGATCTTACTTCCAATTACAAATATATTAGACATTAATATTAAACAAAGGTAAAGCTATGCCTCTAACAGACCATGCAGGCCCATAGGGTTGTGAGACGTCGAGGCTCTCATATTTTCTCCATACAAATCATCTCAGAGATGGCGGTAAAGTTGTCAGCCTTAGGCGCAGGCAGCCCTTTACCCCCAGGAACATTCCTGGTACTCATTTCTGTTAGTGGCTGAGTAGACCCCAAGGCCGTAATGAGGTTGGAAGGAATAGGTCAATTGAAAAAATCCACCCCATCAGGACTTGAACCCGCGACCTTCCGGCTTTTAGCATAGGGCCTCAACCAACTACGCTACCGCGTGCCCCAAACATTACTGTTATTATTATTATTATTATTATACTTCACTGAATGTTAAAATTATTATGCCTTGCAATAGTAAGACAAACGCCCATTGCCTCTTAGCGTAATTAGGACGTTTTGTTTGTGGCTCCCAATTTATAGAGACTGCGCAGCTCTGACATCGGCAGTCATCGTCCTTTATTGAGTGCAATTTCAAAATTTTTGCTGAGATTTCGCAAGTGTTTACACATAATCACATACAACTTTGAATCAGTTCATGCACAGGTAATTACGTATACTTCGTATAAAAAGGGCAAGATGTGAACATAAGTTGGACGCATGTTGAAGTAAATTGTGAGATGTATTTTCAAGACCTGCCATTCATGGGCGTTTCCCCATAATATTTAAGATATTTATAACGTTGTACGTTGGAAGGAAAAGTAACATACATAACTGCGATGATGTAATTTCTGTGTTGTTTTACCAGTAGACAACCAGATATCAACCTCGTTAAAATCTGTGGAACCGTACAGAGAGCATAGAAATAAAACACAAGGACTCCTATGTAGAACTCAAAATTTTCACTTTCCCTCTTTCTTCTTTTTTCTGCTCATGTTCCTTCTCCCTCGTCTTTTTCTTCACTTCGCCGTATAAGAAATCAGGCCTTGATGCAGTCATTTTGTCTTTTCCAGTCTTACTCGGTCGTAGGCTCTAGAATTTAGCCTGAAGAACGTATTCCGATAATCCTTTTGTGGTCATTCCATCCAGACCGTTGCTCCACCTTTATCTGTATATCTGCAGCAGGGATTTCCTCTTTCACAAGTAATTGATGACAGTACGCTGGCGAAACGACATATGGTTGTCGACCATTTTGTTAGGAGTGATATTGGTCACGTGATGCAAGCTATTGACGTCACAATATATTCAAGGTTAACACAACAGCTGGTTCCACCTACCACAATACTCTTTTTCGTCTGCTGTTCCCAGGTTGCATGCAAAAAATTTGTTCATGACTTTCGGTACGACCTACGTATAATTCGGCAGGAGATTTTTGTATTTGACGATAAAAGGTGAAAAGTTTATCTGTATCTTCATGCAAATTAGTAGGAGCTATTATCTGAGCTGCCCCCCCAAAAAGAAACATAGTTTAGATTTATTTGATTTGTTTCTTTCTTGTCCGCCACACTAGCAATAATATAAAAGATAAAACAATTCCGTCCAGTGTGACTGGACGGAATTGTTTTATATTTTATAATAGTTTAGATTTAGTTCCTCGCTGTATAAACTCTCATATGGGAATATCTGATCTTTTTAAATATTTGGATTATGTTTAATTGCCGTATTAAAGTGTGAAAAGTGACAATACAATAACCATGCGAAATTAATAAATGCTTTCCTCTAATTCGAACGACAAATAAAATGGTAGTCATGTTGCATTTTGTGTGGTGAGAGACGAATAATTATATAACATTTTTGTTTGTTGTTTAAAATTATTAACATCCGGATTGCGCCAAATTTCTAAATTATATTCGAGAAGTTCGGAACATCTAACGATATTATATCTCCCCAGATATTTGTCATTGACTTTCACTGTTTGTATGAATGAGTTGGAATACTTCTAAACTGATGAAGAAATCTGAATTGAGATATGGACGTTGCTGTGACACGTAAATCCATTGCTGGGGAACGAGTCGGCAAACACGTTTCCATGGAGATACATTTCTGGAAATCAGCACGTCACTGAGTGATAAACACGTTTCCATGGAGATGGATTCTCAGAAACCAGCCCGTCGTTGTGTGATACACAGACTTTTCCTTCAGTACGGAAATGAAAGTTGTTTTCTGTTGGAACACAGTTCCTGGGGGTATAAACAGGTCACCCTGTTCCTGGGGGATATAAATATAGGTACCTGACCCTCCAGTTAGATGGAGTCTCGAACCTGAGACAGTAAAATATGGTCATGAGTCCCGTTGGACTTGGATCTGAGAATGACTGAGCTGGCGAGAGCCAGCAGTAACTGTAAACGACAGATCCAAATCTCTCGTCTGAGGGGATGTTACTTTAACTGCAAGAATTCAGTTGGAAAATAAAATTACTGGTCGTGAGTCTCAAAGGGATTATGGCCAAGACGAAGTGATTGGCGGTAAACCGCCCGTCGTAAAGTAACTCTGACTCTGACAGATCAGGAGAAGGCAGCAAATGACAGACTAGAATGGAGCAAATCGTAGATTAGATAAGACTAGAAAGAGATCAGGCCAGATTAGAATTGATCAATTCGGCTGACGATTCATTGTGAGTTATTGTAATTTTTTGTGATTACGAGTGACTTGACATGGAGTTATCAGTAAATACAATCATCCAATCTAAACCCCGATTTTATTAGTCACGTCCCATACATCGTGAAAATATATTACTTCTCTTCTGAACTTCTAGCTTAGCTGTTCTTTCGTTGTACTTCGAAAGAACACTTAT